GCGCCCCCCCCCCCCGCGCCCCCGCCAACGCCCGCCGCCAACGGCCGCCCTCGCTGTGCCGGCCCGGGGTCCCTAACGCCGGAGCTCTAACCCTGTGGGTGCTGCGCTGCCCGGTGTGCAAAGGGCGCGTTGTTCCCCCGGCGCTCCAGCTGCACTGGCCGTGCTGCCTGCGCTACTGCGAGTAATGCCGTAACTGGGAACGGTTGAATACTTGTGAGTGGCGGTATTAAGCGAAAGGGCGCAAAATAAAACTGCGATGTGCGTCTTGGCTGCTGAAGTGGATGGAGGAAAGGCCATAACCTGAGTTGATGCCCAGAGGAGCCTACCTGCCATTTTTCACAGCACTTATTACTTTCCGCAACACTCTGTCTCTCTCTCTCTCTCTTTTTTTTTTTCCTGGTGGAAGTATTATCGATCACAAGTAAACAGTGCATTTCCTTAAGCTGCTGTTCCTGCAGAATTACAGAGCTGTTCATTTTAGTTCCAGTCAGTGGAGTTTGCAAACTTTGATCTGCCAAATATTCAAGATTTATATCTGTTAGTTGACTAAATTTATTTCTCTTTCCTTTTTTTTTTTTCTTTCTTTCTGGAAATAGCTTTGAAAGTGGCTTAGGTGGTTACAAAATGCTAATGTTGAGAACTACATTGTCAGATTTGTGAGGGAAGAGTCTGAAATGTCTGAAATGGAGGTATGCTCCAAATCTTAAAACCTGTGCTGTTAAAAAGAGAAAAAGTTACATCTTAAGAAAAAAAATAGTAGGGAACACTTAATACCTGGTGACATCAAATAATTTTTCTTTTTTTCTTGTGTGGACCACATTTATGCTTTATAGGTCTTTAAAATTTGTCCTACTTACTTCCTGATTTTGCTTGTTTTATGAAATGAATGCCCATTTTTTTTTCCATATATTGATTTGCCTTATGCTATTCTGAATTCATGTCTGGCGTATTTGCAAATAACGAGGGGGGATGCTCCCCTTTTTTTCTTGTTTTTTCTTCTTGTTTTTTTCATTAGTGCTTGATGTGAGCCCACCCATGACCAGTCCTGAATAAATTCCAAGGGTCCTTTTCTCCTGAGAATCATCTTTGTGTTTGAAGTTACATACTTCTGATGGCTATCATCTCCCCTTTGTCCGCACTGACAAGGAAGTAATAGTTTATTAAATCATGACTTCTGGTTACCGAGCATAAGAATGTCACTGTTGTTATGTTCTTAAACTTTGCCTCCTGAAAATCTAGGATCTTATTTACAGTACTGCAGTATAGTCTGAGGAAGAGCCACAGTGGTCATTCACCGGTGCTGCTTACTACCAAAGTTTGAAGAACTGTACTCAGGTTTATCCTGAGCCTTGCTACATCACGTGGTGTTCCATGCTGTCCCAGTATAGGACATACTTCTTGCATTTCTTTCAGGTGGATTAGGGAAAGCAAGGTATTGGTAAGGAAAGATCGTTCTTGACCCCAGAATTTCAGCTCTGTGGGATCGGTGCTGTCATTATTCAAAAATCAGTAGAAGGATTAGCACCTACCAACCTCTGAACGTAATGTGAAAGCAGTTTTGGTAAGAAACACGCAGCATGCAGATGGAGCTGAAAAAAGACAGCAAAATCTGTGCATGTGTAAAAGCCAGAAGAGGCTGGAGAACAACAGAGCAAATTGTAGAGATAGCAGTAGTTTATAAACTGTGATCTACCATATGACAATATTCCAAAGCATAATTTGTAGTTATTTTTTGTCCGGGATAGAGATGCCTTACTGTAAAATATTTTCTTAATTTACCATGTAAATCTAGACCTTAACAGCTGTATTTCATACTGTGAACACATATTTTAATCCTAAAGAGGATGGTTACACTTTAAAAACAGTTTTGTGTAATTGTTTTGGACTTAACAGTCAAGTTTTGCACCCATATCAGTGTCTTCTAAAGGAACCTTTCTGAAAATGTGTCTCTCCTAAAATTTGTCTTACAGATTTACAAAAACAGTGACGTGCATTGATTTCTGCTTTTCAGGCTTGTTTGGGATGCTGTAACACTGAGAAGGTCCGTGTTGCTTACGGCTATATATCAGAAAAGGTAGAGTTTCAAAATTATTTAACTTCTTATGTATGTTTTATAACTCTGACTTTCTACTGTTCGTCTTATTGAATACTTGTAATGGAAACACTGAAAAATACCTTTGTTTTTACTGTTCTGTGTGTGGATGTCTGTAATTTTGTAACTTGAAAGATTTTTCCTGATAAACATAAGTATCTTGAAAGGTAATCTGTCACTCATTTGCTCCTTTCCGACATTATGTACAGGAGTGAATTTTAGCCTGTTTTCAAATAAATGTTAGTGAGTCTTTTCTAAACATAATAAGAACAAAAGTCCACTGGCAGTTTAATTTATGAAAAAAACAATAACAGACTAGATGAAAGGTCTAAGCTAAACCAAAGAAATAAGAGGTAGTCATTGCAAAATGGCATAGCAGTTTTTCCCTAAATCTTATGGCTTTCTCAGTATCATATTTAAATCTTACCATAATTTTCTTTTTCTTCTTTGTAGCTTTATCCAGGCTATGTAGCTTTAATTAGCTAGGTTTTTTTTTTTATATAGAGCCAAGCTTTCGAGATAGAAAGTTCCTGAATAATTTTTGTAGTATATGCTGGTATTATTATTATTATTACATTATTGTAAAGTTTTGTGAAATACGATGTTGTATCTCTTCTGATTAAAGCTTGAATTACTTCCCATTACAGAAAAGGAAGCTGAGACATGCAAAAGTTTGATATGTTGAAGGCCCCATGGTGTAGTTCTCAGAGAAATCTGAAATCAAGATACTAATCTATGTTGTGACAGTGGATGTTTCTCTACATTTGAAACGTTAGATAGTATATAACACTGTCTTCCAGCATGTTATTAACTCTTACTTTGCAGAATACTCCGGAGATTCTGAATGATTCTTTTTCTGTTTTTCTCATGCAGTGATTATTGGAGAGGGAGAAAGGGTAGGCATATGAGGAAAAGACTCTAGGCTGATGATCAGTAATGTACTCTTGTGCAAGAAGGGAAATTTCTGTTCATTTTTTCTTTCATGGTCTCATGCTCCATTGATCTGTAGGATGTTGTGAGACCTTTGCTGAAATATTTGTTAGAGTGACTTGGAGAAGGCAACTGAAAGATGGAACTGGAAAGTATCAAGGATGAGATTAATCTTGCCTAACTTGTGGTTCTTAAAACCTTTTGCTGTCACAAGAGAGAAATGGATCAGGTGAAGCATCCTTTGGAAATGCCCATCTCTGGCATCTCCAAGGGACAGTGTATCAAAATGGCATCTGTCCTCCATTTACTATGGAGAGGACTCAGATGCTTAGTTTAGATATTGACGTATAAGCTGGGGAGAGGAATCCTACTCCCAGAGTCTAAAATGGTGAGAGATTATTTTATTGTTTGTCTCTGAAGACCATCCTAGCTTTCATTCTTTGCATATTGGGCCTGTGCTCTTCCCTGGGCTGAACTGGTGTTCATCACAGGCATATCTTTGTCATTTTAGATTTCCAGCTCATGATCTGGGTGCTGCTGCTGATTTTCCAATGAAGTACATCCTGGTTACCGGTGGTGTCATCTCAGGCATTGGAAAAGGGATCATTGCAAGCAGCATTGGCACCATACTGAAATCATGTGGTCTCCGTGTCACTGCAATCAAAATCGATCCTTATATAAACATAGATGCTGGAACCTTCTCGCCGTATGAACATGGTATGTTAGATAAAGGATTATTTTAGTCTCGCAGGAAAGACTAAATCATCTTAAAATTTTAGGAGCTGAATTTTCAAAGCACATTTGATTGGTATCGTTTTCCAGGTTATTGCCCATGAATTTCTTTCTGAAAACAAATATTGCTAGTGAGCTACAAGACAGTCTCACATCTAGCTTTTCCTCATTTATAAAGGAGAATGTTACTTTAGCTCTCTGACATATTATTAGTACATTCATTAAAAACAGTTGTTTTCAGAGTTCCAAAGTTCTTTCAACAAACAGATATTTCTAATTCTTTTTCTTTGCTAAAATTTATCTGCTTGCTTATAATCAATACCAACATTTTGGAGTTGATCTTCCAACCTCCATATATGCACACTTTCCACTCTTAAAAGCTAGTGGAAAAAAAAAAAAAAAACCATCCCCCCCCACCCCCACACTGTACCCTATGGCAGAGCTGAAAAATGATTGTTTTACTTCCAAAGTGGAGGAAGCACCAGTATACCAGCCCTCTCTCAGAAAGCCAAATTTAACTAATCCAGAAGTTGTGAATTTTGAGGTGTATATCCACTGCAATGTAGGCACCGGACTGGGAAAGTTCTGACTTTACCTTTAGTGGTAAGATTTCTGCAATGACTTGAGATTGTCAGAATGTGTTTTTGCCCTGTCTCAAATGCTGGGGAAGAGAGGGCAAATGCGACATGCTGTTCCCACTTAGCATTTTTTTCCTCTCAATTTGCAGACAATTTTCTTATTACTTGTGAAAAAGCACTAGCCAGCAAGATAGTCAGGACAAATTAGCTGAATGGCAAGCACTTTTATTAACACTTTTGTGAAAATATGAGCCAAGTGATAATTTTTTGTCTATTTCCTTTTTTTTAAAAAAAGATTATTGTTAAAAACAAAGCAAAACCTTAATTCTCTGTGAGAAATTTTGGCTGTGTTCTGTTTCTGTTGGCTGAGGTGGCAATTTGGGGATACTGAGTAGGAGCTCAATGCTCCACAGCATTAAGCATGTCATTCACTCCGTTATATGTGTTTTTTTCTTTTACTGTTTATTTTGAAGCAGAGAGTTGTATCTAGGTGGAGTATATATATCCATAAGCCAGAGTAAATCTTCAGGGGAATAATAAGAATAAATATCAAATAACAACAACAACAATAATAATATTAATTATTATTGTTTTCTTGTGCATTACTCCTGTAACTTATCTCACTGTTGATTCATTGGCTCATGGCAAATCCTTTAAGGATCTCCTGAAGAGCTTTCCATCTTAGGAACTAGAGTGGAGGCAGTAAGTTTAATTGCTTCAGAAGTTGATAAGATTCAGGATTTAGACATTCCTTAGGGGTTTAAGAAAAGTCTGAACCCTGAAGCAAACTCCACTGCAGTCCATGGAAAATTTTTTCTAGATTTTTTCAGGGTTAGAAATAACCCTGGCCATGTATGTAATGGACCAAATATACACTTTGAAAAAACTGAATAAGGAACAATGATAATATTTGTGGAAGTATTTATATTCCTCATAATTTTACTCCAGATCCAGGTCTTACTCATTAATCATAAAATAGATTCAACGAGCAAGAATTTATGATGAAGCACTTTGAAAATGTGTTAAAATTCATGCTTAGAAAAACACAGTTTTTGGCTGCCATGTGAATTAACACATTGCCTAGAGCTGATTTATCGCATGTGAAAATTGCTTTCTTCCCATCAAGGATTGTAGTAGGCTGTTGAAATGCCCATGAAATATTTTTAAATCACTTAAATATTTTGCTAATATAACTTCATTTTCAAAAGCATTTGTGACTGCAGGATAGACATTCTTTGGAAGAGTTAATTGTATCAAGTAGTCACACAGGACAGGGACACAGAGGTAGCTGTAGCATGTGCTTGTGATACAAAGTATTGCCCTATATCACTCTTAAAAGCAATTCCTCAATTGTAAGGTACGTTTGTGGTACTCCTGTTTGTTTAGTAACTGCTGATTATTTTATTGCTTTTCTGTCTGTTAACATTTTTCTCCTAAGCTATCATATTATTTTTAACGATTTAACTTTTTTTCAGGTGAAGTTTTTGTGCTGAATGATGGTGGAGAAGTTGACTTAGATTTGGGAAATTATGAGAGATTCTTGGACATTAGTCTGTATAAAGATAACAACATCACCACTGGGAAGATATATCAACATGTCATCAATAAAGAAAGACATGGTGATTACCTGGGAAAAACTGTGCAAGGTAATATTTATAATTCTGTGGGTTGCTACTCTGTTCAGTCTCCACAAAAGCGCGCTCTGGCTAGAGATGCTGATAGAGCAGTCACTGGCTTGCTCCTTCTCTCCTTCTCAGCAAATCTGGTCCTGTTTTTGTGAGGCTGGGCTTCTGGGATTAGGGAAAGGAAGAATACAGAAAGGGGCTAGTAGTTCCATTTTCACTTCCTGCTCATTTCCTTTGAGAGTGGCCTAAAATACGAAGTGCTTCATTTGTTTGTGTTGCGTTGTCTTGCAGTTGTTCCACACATCACTGATGCGGTTCAGGAATGGGTAATGAATCAGGCAAAAGTTCCCGTGGATGATGACAGAAAAGAGCCACAGATATGTGTTATTGAGGCAAGCAGGTTCCGTTCTTTTTGCTCTCAATTCATTTAAAATAAGCAGAAAAACAATAAGTAGAAAAGTTGCACAAGTACATTAACAAATGGTAGGACTATCAGTACTTTAACTTAAAACTTAATTTTCTGTTTCTTCCATGTTATTTTGTCAGTATAGTTCCAGATGCATAAAATACATTTTTACGGGCTTCGATGATACATATAACTGTCTTTCAATTGTGAAATACTGAGGGAGTTAAATTGCGTTTGTGTATCAAGTGTAAGTGTAGTTCTCCAGAAGGTTTCCTAGTCCTGGTTGAACATAAATATGCAGTTCTACTAGAAGCCACATGGGGGCATAGGAAGACTGTATTCTGAAATACGTTCGCTCCACAAACTTGAGACAATTATTCTATTCAGTGTTTAGTGTCTCTGTTATAGCTCTGTCTTTGAATAATATCTAATTCCTGTGTTTATAAATCAAACTTTTCATTGAGTTGGTCTGTGTCCTCCTTTTGGCTTGGTAATAAATGTTTAAATGCTTTTAAAACCTGAAATAGGAGTTCATATTGCCCGTATGTCATTTCTTGATGGGGAGAGCTATGATAATGTGGCTAGATGTATGTATCTCGTTGGCCACAACTATTTATTAATCTGGCAGTCAGGAAAATAAAAACTGCTTCTCAGCACAAAAGCCTTCACATTGGCCAAATAATGATTACTTTTTAACCGCTTTTAAGGCAATGGAAGTCACCCGAAAGCATGTATTTTTTTTCAATGTCACCATGTATCTTCCTGTGCAGAACGTACGTGCTTGGTTGTACGTGAGCATGAGCATGGAAAGTCATTACAGTAGGTTTCCGTGCTTGAGCAGGGGAGTTGGACTAGACGATCCCTAAAGGTCCCTTCTAACTTCAACCATTCTGTGATTCCGTGATTCTCTGGTTCTCCTTGGGAAGCAAACCATGCAGGACAGATGAGAGCCGGGCCCTTTGCAGAGTATATTTGCAAAACCAAATTTCAATTGCCCCTCTTTTCTCTCTACCTTTTCTTTTTTTTTGATAAAATAATAGAAATTGCTGAAGCTTTAAGAGGTAGGTGTTGTTTTGCTTTTACTTTCTGTCACTCTGACAGATCCAACCTCTCTTTTTCAGCTGGGTGGAACTATTGGGGACATTGAAGGAATGCCCTTTGTTGAAGCATTTAGACAGTTCCAGTTCAAAGCAAAGAGAGATAACTTCTGTAATATCCATGTTAGTCTAGTACCACAGGTAAGTTATAAAAATAAATATATTTTAATTATCAGCCAACTTTTTCTCTGTGTTGGGTTATATATTTGTTTACTTTGTCCCCTTCAGAGGGGTTGTTGGAAGGGCTTAAAGGTTAAGAGATACAAAACTCCACTCCACTGGCATTAATAAAGGCCCTGGCAATTTTTTTATTGATGCAAGAATCTAATATTCCAAGTTACAAAAAAGGGAAGAATTTATCAATATTAATTTATCTAGAAAGTTGCACATACTTGTTGTACAGGGTTGATTTTTTTTGCTGATTTTTTTCCCTTCTAAGTCTAAATTCTACTTCACAAAGAGATTTTGTTATTATTTTAAGGGAGAAGTATTCATTGGGAAGTTTCTGGAAAGCAGAGGTTTAATAGTGATGACATGATTGCACCTTGTATACATAAAAAGAGAATATGCAGCTGATTTTCAGTGGGATTGATTCTGTGTATTTGAGAATAGAATTACTTAATATATCTGATTATTTCCAAGATAGTCTTTGTGCTCTGTTGGACATTTATTAGCAAAGTCCAACTTCAGAAATTTTCTTCTTCTGAGTCAATTGTATTGATTTTTTTCTTCAACAAACAAATAACAAAAACAAACAAACAAACAACAAGCCTCACCTGAATTAGGGCCATATATTTATTGATTTTTTTTTCCTAAGATATGCAGTGACTGTTACTTCCTGGCATGTTGCAGCTCTTTTTAGATGTATGGTTACTTCTTGCATGTATTATTACTTGCAATGACTTTTCTCTTTCTATCTGTAACTGCTTTGTTAATAGATACTAGTTGTTTGAACTTTCAAAATGTCTTTTCAGCCTAATGCCACTGGTGAGCAGAAGACCAAACCAACACAGAACAGTGTCCGAGCACTGAGGGGCTTAGGTTTATCTCCAGATTTGGTGAGTTCATGAGTCAACAAATATTACACATTTTTATCTATGTTTCATCTAAAAGTATCCTTACATGAGCACTCTTCAGTGAATCATGAGAGATGAGAGCTTTAAGAGAAATGCAACATGTAAGATGCACTGCTGCATGAAAGCCATGGGAAATAAAATTATAGAAACTCACTCTAACTTAACACAGTCCAAATCCCTGTGGTACCTTGGGACTGGAGGTATGTTCTTCTTATAAAGGGAAGGCACTGCTTAAAAATAATCAATATTTTAAAGCACTGCTTAAAAATAATCAAAAGGTCAGATTTCTCAGTTTACTTTGTGGGACAACCTAGAATTCTTTTAGGATCAAAAATTCTTTCACAAATCTCTTTTTATATATGACTAAAGAGAAGCAATCCTTTCTTTCATAGAATTATAGAATCATAGAATGCTTAAGGTTGGAAGGGACCTCTAGAGGTCATCTAGTCCAACCCCCCTGCACACTCAGGGTCACCTAGAGCACATGGCACATCCAAGCGGGTTTTGAAGATCTCCAGAGGAGATTCCACAACCTCTCTTGGCAACCTGTTCCAGTGCTCTGTCACTCTCACTGTCAAGAAATTTTTCCTTAAGTTCCTGTGGACTGAAAATGCATTGTCTTTAAAATGTTCCTGTTTGAAAGTATAAAACATATGGATTCATTTTCAAAGTTCCTGTTCTTTTTGTATGATGAACATGCATTTGAGGTATAATAATCCCAAAGGCAGCAAGTTTCATCTTATGCCAGTGAGCAGATGTCAAAGGCTAATCTCCTTCCAGTCTCACTCCCCAGTGATCCTGCTAGCAAGTATGTGCTTTTTTCCCTGGACGCAACATGTGCTTTGCTGTGACTTTTCCTTGGGAGCAGAGAGGATATACAAATGGTTTGCAGCTCCCTGTTGTCATATTGCCCTGCTATTGAGAAGAGAGCCGGGTGGGGGGTCACTCGAGCTTGCTTGCTCAAGTGTTAGTGACAGTGAGGCTGAGGCAGCACTGGATTTGCATGCCAGTACAACCACAGTTCAGACTTGCACTTCACATTTTCCTGAACTGCCACAGACAGAGCTGAAGACAGCCTGTTTCTTGATCTTTCCCTGGAAGAGAACTTTTTGGTGTTTTTGTGTGTGTGTGTAAGTCTGCTTTAATAAGTAAAGAATATTTTTTGGACTTGATTCTGGAGGCATTTTCATTCCTTGTGTCCTTTCCATTCTCCTACATTCCACTGGGAGAAGAGGCCTCTTAGCCCTTCTAAGAAATGAAAGAGCAGTGACACTAGTGGTGACCCTAGTCATTGGTTCTGAATAACATTGATAGTCTCAAAAGGAGAAATGATTCTTAAAAGGATATTCACACAATTCTGTTATTGTGTTTCTTTGTGTCATTTTTGACAGACTTTTTGGTCTAAGTGTTTTTCCATTTGAAAACTATTTTTCCAACTGAATGTTAAGTTCTATGGTACTTCACAAGCATATCCATTTTTTCCTCTCTTTACAGAGAGAAAGCCTGATTTATTTATACACTGCTTCTCTACATTCCAAACTTCAGACCTAAATTTCAAAATCCCTCTTGTGCTACTAATTGCATATGGAAAATCGCACCTGATTTCTGGAGGCAGTTAACTAGTGCCTGATGATTTTTTCCCCAAAAAATCAACCTTTAAAAGCCATGTGTGCCTGCATGTGTGCGTAAGATAAGGAAAACGGACTAATGTAGTTACTTTCTCCCATCTTGGTTATTGCTTGGGGTGATGCAGGGACTCCCAGAAGGGCACTCTATTTATTTATTTTTTTAAAAAATTGGGTGTTCTCTTAACGAGGGGCCAAATGCAAACAGTGGGGAAGGTGCTAGGACAGCAGTTAGGAGAGCTGTCTCTGTAAGCTCTGCTGCCCCATATAACCCCTGCTAAACTTGTTCTTGATGGCCGCAGCCTCACTGTTGCTCTCTGAGTTGTCTCAGCTGTTTGCCTATCAGAGCTTGCCCTCCTTGGGGTGTTTGAAGAGCTTAGTAAACATACAGTGTCTGTGCAGGTTTAGAGGACTTTGTTATGACATTCTGAAAAGTGATGTTTTCATGTTTGCCAGTGCTGTTCTGTTCACCTCTTCCTTTCTATATTCTGTTGCTTTGACATGCATCTTAGCCACTGTTACTTAGTTTTGCATTTCATGCTGCTTCTGATGCTCTTCATTTATGTGATTCCATTACCTTTATTTTTTGACTTGAAATTTATCACAGCAAGATGGATTATAGACTCCAGACTGGATGTGTTCATGTACTCAGGCTATTGTGGTTTATGAATAGGATTTTCAAATATTACCCAATTTTTAAATACAATTACAAGTTCTGTTATGCTTAACTGAAGAAAATGTACACATTATGTCAGTTATTTTTGATTATTTGAATATTTGCCTATTTTCTTTTGCATTTGGCATTGTTTTTTCTGATTCTCAAATTTCTTGCTAGGGGAAGTTGATTAGATTTTTTTCAATTTCAGCCTAGCTAAGTTGCATTCTAGAAGGTGATCAATGATCAGCAATGTATTTCTGAACAACAACAAAAAAGTCTTAATGTGTTAAGTAGCTGCACTTACTAGACACAAGGGGAAAAAAATAAATTACTCCTTTAAGAGAATTGTTATATTTGATGCAGGATTCAAAGTGTTTCTAAGTTACCTAAAGTTAGATAATGCAAAAAACCTTCAAAAAAATTCCAAAAAGCTTTTTTTTTTTTAATACATGTATTCTTAGCATACTTGAATTTTATTTCCATCAGCAAAATAATCACAAGAAAATTGCGTAATTACACTAGAAAAAATTAGAAAATGTAAAATAGTGGCATTTTTTTCATTGTCATCCTTCCTTTTGATCATGATGCATGAATTAACAATTTTCAAAAAGGCACTGAAGTACTGAAGGGCTGGAAAATATGGATGTAAACTAATTTTTGTTGCTCTGAGTTCAACTGATAAGGTCATTTTTTTTTGATTCATCGTATCAGTTGTACTTAAAATGCTGCTTGAATTTTACTTAGAGTGTTACAATAATGGCTATAAAAAAGGAGAGCTTGAGAAAGAAACATTACAAAAGAAGCTATAGAAAGATTAAGAAGTAAAAGAAGGTCAGTATGGGCAAGTGTTCTTCAGGTAATTGATTTACTTCTGTCCTACTAGGAAATATTTGTGAGCTATGACGTATAGTAGAACTCAAAGTATATTTGCACAGAATTTCTGAAGGAGGTGATCTATTCATGAGTGTTATTGAGGATCTCTACAGGTTTTCCTAGAAAAGTTTTATGATTTTACTTTCTGTTATGACAGATTGTCTGCAGAAGTGCTAAGCCTATAGAAATGGCAGTGAAGGAAAAGATCTCCATGTTTTGCCATGTGGAGCCTGAACAGGTCAGTAATGAACAGTTTGTAAATCATTACATATGTAGGAAAACATCCAAATATTTATATGCATTTCTATTTTTAACTTCAGATTATTTTATTAATATGTAGTTGTTTTTACAATTTTTTCTCTGTCTTATACTCTAAGAACTGTTTAAAATTTTATACATTAAATAGTCCTTATAGTGTAAGCACATTTTATATTTTGGTGTAATTATTTATTAGGTTAGAAAGAACTAATAAAAGGAATAGATGTTGGATGTGTTGTTAACTGTTATAAATTCTCATGAAAACTGTACAGTTCCCTAGACTGCTGAAAGCTGTGGTTGCTGTCCATAATTCATCTTACATGTTTATAATAACGGATTAACAAAGTGTGGTTGAAGTTATGGATTTCGCTTATACCCATAGATCATCACAGTTGCGTGAACATGCACTAATGTGCAATGGGCTATTCGTGCCCTTCAGCATGTGTAGAACATCTATGGTATACGTCCTTCTGTAATTCATGTATGATTTTGACATTAATTCCTGTAGGTATCTGCTGTTTGAATACTCATTTTGGTAAATCAAATGCCCTTTGCCGTTAATGTAACAGGTAATGTTAAAAGGATAATAGATGCTAACGCTGATGCTATGTTTCAAGTTTGTGTCAGTGTTGACCTCTCTGCAGATGGGTAAGAAATAAATCTTTTTGTAGTAAGGCCCCAGATGAGAACATAGAGGACAGTGTGGCCATTATTTTTCCTGTGTGCCCATCTGTATCTTACTCTTTGTAGGAGATAACCCATTTGAGCTGGCTTCTGAGGAAACCTGCCCTCCGCAGCATAGCCCTAGCAGGAGCCCCATTATACCTGAGCATCCAGGAGAGCTCACTCGCAAGGGAGTGGCTCTCTGCACGGCATTGCTTTGTACCAAAGATCTGCTTTTGGGGGGAGAAGCTCAGCAGGTATACTGTTCACTGCTTTCCTGAGAAGCTAGTGGTATCAATCTCTGCAGAGTGCTGCACTGCTCCTGGGCTGTTCCGGTTTGCTCAGATCTCCAGACACTGCAGCACTGTGTTGTGTAATGTAGGGGTGTCCTGGGTGGTAAGACCCAGTGGACTGACGTGCTGTGTCCAGCTGCCATGCTCTGTTGAAGCCTTGTCTTTTTTTTCTTTGTAACTGCTGCCCTCAGCATTCTGCAGAGCCATCCTTAACCACCCTGTGTGTCTTAAAATTAATTAGCCACTTCTGGATTTCTAGCCATTGAAACAGTCTTTTCAGAAGAGATGGCAGATTCCATGAATTTCAAGCTCTTTTGGCTAGATCACTCACGATGTCCTTCCCTGCAGTTGGAGTCGTACAAAGACCACATCTCTAAATATTACCTAAAATGAACCTGGATTTTTTTTTTCTTTTGTGAACTGAAGGATTAGTTGCATCATCAATCTTTTTCCTGTAGCTATGCTCAGCACCGGCAGAAAAGAAGCTGCAGATTTAGTTTGTGTCTAGAACTCTGATTTATTACCTCAAGAGGGGGTCAGGCTTTTTAGCTTGTCTTCTCCATTCCTTTTCTTTGCTGTCATAACTAATCCAAAACCATATGCTGTTTTGTCCCTGACTTCCTCTGTGACAAAAAGAAATCCACTTGCTCTAAGTGCATTTTTTTTGTTACTTTTATTAAGTGGATGGTGAGTGACTTCCTCCTCACTTCTAAGTACGTCCCACTGAAGCAAAAGCAGTGCCTTTGGCTTGTTTCAGGATTTTAACAATCTCCATGGTCAGCAATACTGTAACCCAGGGCAGCCAGTGGTTCTTTCTAAATAGGATGGTAGTTTGTAGCTGCCAAGTTTGGAAGAACAGTTGTATAAGCTCCCACTACAGGAGAGTTGTGGCTGCTCTGTTCCTTTGTTGTTGAGTTGGCGCATGGAGAGGCGTGTGTAAGTGCTTTACTTGTTCAACAAGAATAAGTAAAGGAAACCTAAGAAAGCATCCTTTATTTCTCATGGGTAGTGGGGAGAGGACACTCGTGGTCAGGATTTGGAACTCTACAGTCTCATGTTTGCTAAATGCAATGAACTTAATTGCAAGCAGCTTGGACATCATTTATAAACAAACGTGTTTTTAACTAAATGACTATGAGTGGGCTACCTTCATAATTTAATTACGTAATCTAATTCACTACGAAAATCCTTTGTAGAAGATTCTATCACGATATAGATGGATCCGTTTTGTGAAGTTCCTTTTGTATTCTTTCTTTCCCAGAAAATATATTTTGTGAGAGAAGAAGAAAGTTTGGGTTTTTTTGTTTTGTTTTGTTTTAACAGCATTTTTCTTATGGGGTCAGAAGTTTTAATAGAAACTGGCATGTTGGTAGGCTTGACAAGATGTGTTTGTACCATGTTGGGCTGAAGAAGATAGACTCACTTTTACTTTCAGAGTAATTTTTCCATGTAAATGTAGTGGAGCCTTAAGTGCTGGCTGTATTGTCCTGCTCATTCTGAGAAAAGTGTGTGAAGAGCCTAATTTATGTAGAATACAAAATACATGTAGTGGAATGTGGAATGCATGTTTTCTGTGGAAAAAAAAATTAGATAACTTTTTGTTATGTGTTTATCTTTAGGTGATATTTATCCACGATGTTTCTTCCACTTACCGAGTACCAATCCTGCTGGAGGAACAAGGCATCATCAAGTATTTTAAACAGCGGTTAAATTTGCCTATTGATGACCAGCCAAGTGATCTCTTAATGAAATGGAAAAAAATGGCTGACAGGTATTCTAAATCCTGCCTCTCTTTTTGGTAGTGCTGGAATTCAGTCAGTTGGATTCTTAACTCCTGTAAAGTGACCAAAATGGACTGCTGGGCTTCGGGTAATGCTGCTGGTCAACACCTAAGGTTGTTTTGGGTTTAGAAACATGGATGTGTTTGAGATTTTAGAACGACATGCGTGAGATCAAAGACAAAACAAGTATTGTCTTTTTAAAGTGCTTTCTTTGTGAAAACTATAGTAATAACTGGAAAACTCCTTTTTGTTAGATATGAAAGATTGCTAAAGGTGTGTTCCATAGCTCTCGTTGGCAAGTACACCAAACTAAGTGACTGCTATGCATCTGTTTTCAAGGCCTTGGAACACTCAGCACTGGCGATTAATCACAAACTGGATTTAATGGTGAGAATATGTCTGGTTTTTGCTTTCAGGAATGTGTGGGATGCACTGTACTAGTTCCCAACAATGAGGCAGTTTTAGTTCATATTGTAATTAGGAAATGAAGCATGAAGATAAATGCAGAATGGCCATACATGGTTCACTTTTTAAGAAACTTATCTGAAAAGAACACTGCAGTTACTTAGCTTTGGATCTGATGAAAAAGCGTTTACCTGCAAAATTTTTTTTAATGCCAAGGGTAAATTTTATTTGTTATAAGACTACTGCCTGATGATGTAATTCTGAATAGGGTCTTACACTGGCAGTTGCATGATGGGTAAAATTATGATATGTAAAAAACTTTTTAGCAAAAACATGGAAGACACCAAGTGTTGCATCCACATACCTGAATGCTGAAATATAGGATGTTCCTAAATGTGATAAATGTGCTGGCTCAATATGTTTGACAAGGAAACAGGAATTAATTTTAAGTGTAATTAGTTTCTTCCTCCAACCACCCAGCATGATAAACTATCCTTTTAGTCTATCCATACTAACTATATGTTAGGATAGAATAATAATTATTTATGAATGTGGTTGTTCTATTGCATCCTTTATACCTTTTGGAGTATGGGGAAAAAAAAGAAAACTTGCTAGAAGGCAATCCTATTATAGCTGAAAAACTTCACACAATCTTTTCATTGGTTTCATTTCTCTGCACACAAATGTGTTCTGTCAGTCCAGATGATTTATTTTTTGTAGTGGATGGCCTACAGCAGGACGTTATTAATTATGTTATTCTCAGAAAAAAGACTATGTCAAAGCCAGGAGTCAGATCAGGATCTTTCATCCTCAGTGCAGTACCTAACCACGTAGTTGTTTGCTCCGTTGGTACCTCTGGAGCCATGTTTGTGAATGGCAGTGGAGATTAATGGAAGATCTCTGGTAGAGCGTATGATGAGGCTGGCTCCCTCTGTAGAGTTGATATTTTCAAGTTAATCCATAGTCATGCCTTTCTTGCAGGCTAGATATTCCAGGCTTATCTAGATCAGATGAACGGTGGCACCCGAGAGCTGTGAAAATGAAGTCCCTGGCCACATCCCAGTTGGATGTCAGGATAAGGCCAGCACCATCCTTCAGTTGGTGCTGTAGTTTCCATAGGAAGCAGGTCTGGGCGGCTGTAGAGCACTCAGACAAGTCCGCTTGCCTGGTGAGCTGCAGAATGAGCGCAGGAAGCTGGCAGCACCTTCCAGACCCCATGCAAAGAGGCAAGGCTGGATTGCTACAGCTACTCAGAGCAAGTACTGGGTCCTCACTGGAGTTATGTCTCCTGGGAAATTCACTTGAAAAATGTAGTGGGTTGGTCTTAATTCTATAGAAATTGGTCATGCAGTTGATGCTGCTTTTTCTGTGGAAGGAAATACTGTTTTATTGCATGTTTTTCTTTTAGTACATAGACTCGATAGATCTTGAACGTTCTACTGAAGTTGAGAACCCAGTGAAATATCACCAGGCCTGGCAAAAGCTGTGCAAAGCAGAGTAAGTGGCGTCAGGTATTCTGCATACCAAATACCCATTGGGATTTACTTTACAGGATGTAAAATGCTTTTCTCAGTGTGTCCAAACTTGTGCTACTTATGGAAGGAGATAGACTTGTACAATGATAAGCATCAGACATAGCAAATTAGTGTCAAACCGTATCCTCAAACTCCATTTTAATCTCTTTAGACAAGCTGCTGTGTTTTAGATAGCTAAGCAAAATGCTTTCTTTAGAGTGCAGGTCAGTTGTCAGTAATTTTTCTTTGTCAACTTGAATTGCAGTAAAAAGCAGTTAGATAAACGTTGTGTTTAGACTTGTAAATGCTTGTGACACTTGCAAACTTATTTACCATTTTCAGAATTTCAGTTTATATATGTAAAGAAATGTTATTATCAGATAGCAAAATTCATTTATTTAGATTTATTTATTAGCTGTCAGGTTTTGCTATTAAGGTCCTAAAGTGATGAATACATAGCTAGTTTATTTAAGCAATGTGAATTTTGCTGTGAAGAATGAGGTTGGTGATATGAGAACTGGGATGTGAAGATGAGACAGAAATTTTAAATTTAGATCTAAATTCTGTATCCCATATAGTAATACAAAATGGAGATGTACATGTTGAATTGAGGAACTGGAATGTATTTTTTGCACTGTGCCTGCTTTGTTAAAACCTGCAAATCTTTTTTTTTGCATTGCTTTATTTTGCTGGTTTGATTTTACCTGCCAGTCACTATATGTGACTCTCATTACAGTGGCATTCTGGTCCCAGGAGGATTTGGAATTAGGGGAACAGAAGGCAAACTCCAAGCTATCTCCTGGGCAAGGACAAAGAAAAAACCTTTTCTGGGTAAGATAATGAAGGTTGGAAATTATTGTGTTTTGGAGATGTGTAGGAAGCTAATTGATATGATTTTTTAAAAGACTGTGTAGCTGTAAAAAGCGAACAAGCAAATCTGCTAGAACTGGGCTTATTAAATAATGGAGTTGGTGAGTAAAATGAATGATACTAAGAAGGGATCCTGTCTTGCAGATGTAGGTTTCCTGTTGTGAATGTCTGCCTTGTAAGCAATGCCTGTGTGGTCCTGTACTGTGGTGCTGGAGAAGGAAGGAAGAGAAAGACTCTGTCTTCCCCAAAGGCTTTGTTAATATTTTATCTGGAAAATCATTCCTTCTCAATATATTAAAATTAGCATCATTGCAGTTATTAATCAATGTACACAAAATATAGGTCTCTGTGGACACGTTTTTCATATTAAATAACTTATGTTGATTTAGTGATATATCTTACTATAGTGATGTCCAAAGTACCCATCTGGTCTATGAACTGTGCTGTTCGTGTGAATTGCTCTAAAGCTTGATTACTGCTTTAGGTTTTTTACAGTTCTCTGGGTAATAGTGACTACTTTAGCTAGTTGCCAAAGCAAAATTTGAATTTGGATATACTGAGGCTTTTGGCTTTTAGTTAGCTTTACAATAATTATTGCTAAAATAGATGAGAAGAAAGGAAACCCCAATATTTCTTAAAAGGACTTAAAGCACATAATTATGCCATGTATATTCACAGTATGCGAGATTCAATTTTTTCCAAGTTCGGATTTTATTTTGATCAGACATTTTTGTTGTTTTAACTTTTTGGAAAGGTTGTGTATGGACAGTGGGTTGTAAGATTTCTAAACAAGAAGTCAACTTTAAGGCATAACGGTGAGTACTTTGTCAGTCCAGCTGTTTATCTTGTTAAATTCTGAGGGATTTGTTTCTTCTTACAGGAGTTTGCTTAGGAATGCAATTAGCAGTTGTGGAGTTTGCAAGGAACTGTTTAAACTGGAAAGGTAAGTGCCGTATGTCAGCATGGATATGATTTGCTTAGAAGAGATTCGATTCTGTATGTGCAATATATATCTATTAATCAATTTAGTATATAGGTCTTATGAACATTAGATTGCTCAAATTGGCCCTGTTGAAAGAACTAAGCAGCTCCAGTTACTTTCTGTATAAAGGAATAGCAACTTCTGTTATGCAGGTTGCCTGAAATCCGCTCTTTAGTCTCATTCATGTAGCTGAAATGTGCTAACCTCTGTAAGCATTTCCTTGGAGCATGTGGGAGGTGTGGAGTAAAGTGAGATGGGGTTGCAGATCATATGTTCCCTGTGGTTTCTTCAAGACAGCTGCATCATGTTTAGTACTTCAACTTCTGAAGGTGTAGCTGGAAGTAGACACAAAGCCTCAGATGCCACAGAGCTGTTCCGGTGAGTCTGTAGTGCCTGTAGGACAATGGAAATGCATTGTGTTTTGTTTTGAATTTTTGTTTCAGATGCAAATTCTACAGAATTTGACCCTGACACAAAAAACCCTGTTGTAAGTACCAGTTTTCCTCCTGCATGTTTTGTGACCATACTCTTGTATTAAAAAGAAGTTACTTCTGTGTAAATTAAAGACTGTCTAGATATTTTATGTGCTAGGACGTGAAGAGGTGTCCGCTGTCCTTATTCACTAGTGTTTCTGAGGTGCTTTCTTTTTGCATAGTCCCTTGCCTTCACTTGCTCAGATCTGGAGTTTGCCCTAGTTTTATTCTTGTAATTTTTGCAGTAGGGTGTCCACTGTCCTTATTCACTAGTGTTTCTGAGTTGCTTTCTTTTTGCATAGTCCCTTGTCTTCACTTGCTCGGATCTGGAGTTTGCCATAGTTTTATTCTTGTAATTTTTGCAGTAACTTGCTTGTAAATCAATCCTGGGAGTGGAGAATAATGATTAGTTTGGCTTTACAAGAGAATGAAATATAAAGGGAAATTGGAAAGTGTAAGACAGAGATATGGAAAAATATTGAGAAATTCTTCTATTTCTTTTATATATATAGGTAGTATTTTTTTTAGCCACATTTTTATGCATCTCATGTAGTCCTTTAGAGAAAAAAATCAATGCTGTAGATTGGGTAGGGCTGTCTGTGTGGCATGCCAGTGGTGGAATTTGACTGGAGCTTTTCCAGATGTTTCCTAGTTTAGGAGAGCATGATACAGCATTCTTGTAATGGTAAAACTTGCAAATGATCTGTAGGAAAAAGAAGAGAAAACTTCATGTGAGAAATGAGGTAGTATTTTACTGTAAGATGTAAACCTCTGTTTCAGCAATTAATTAATGGATTGCTCATCAGAAACTACTGTTTCTGTATCAGTTTTCTTCAAATGAATTTTTGGGAGGTGAAAGTAAAAGTATGTTTCAGTTTCACATTCTTACTTTGCAAAGTGCAAGTGGAAGAGTTTTAAAGCATTTGACCTCTTTGCCAATGTTGTTTAGATGTATTTTTATGCAAAGTAGGAGAGAGAATCTGGTCTGAACTTGAAGGTAAATTAGAGACCTTCAGAGTTTTAGTCCGTTTGAGACGTACATGCCGCTAAAGCTTAGTGGGATTGGAAAATGTTCTCAGAGGGACAAAAATAAACTTACATTTGATGACAAATGCTGTGGTTTTAGTATTGGCAGAGGTCTTTTTCTTTGCCCTTCTTGAGTATATTAGAAAACACACTTTTTCTTTGAAAGGATCAACTTGTTAATACCAATATATTGTAAAATATGGTAAATTATGAAGATTTACTGCAAATTTTTGGGTAGCAGGAAGCTTAGTACAGAAGGCTGATTCTAGGACATCTTTGGCTATAGTGTTTTTTTGTGCCACGGGACATTACTTAGGTGCAGAGGATATTATTCCACTGTTGCTGTGTAGGAGAGAACAGCACTTCTGTCAATACCATATGTTTATTCCTTTGGCATATTTCACCCACTAAATAAAAAGTGATACCTACATTTATTAAAGATATTTAACCTTATTTTTCTTGTAATTCAAGTTTCTGTGCTTCAATAGGCAATGATTGAAACATTCTGTTAAAGTGATTTTTTTTCTCTTTTAAATCCTTTGAACAACTGGTAGAGCTTGCTAGCTGTGAGTCTGAATCAGCATCAATTTCTTTGAAAGATGTTTGGATCTGATTTGGGTCACCAAGTCAGCAATTTGAGCTCACGGTTAGCCTCACATTATTTACTGTGACCTTTTATAATTGCAGAGAGCTTCTGCCGTTAAATTCTAATAAAAAGCAGTTGTCCTTGAATTAGCACTTCCTTACTTCTTATTGTGAGAGCAGGTGGCTGAAATTAGGCTTATTGGTCCCCTTGTTAATAAGTGAAGAGAAAAATACCTGCGGACAGCAGTTCATTCAGTTTTGAACTCCCTTCACTGGCTGGTGGTAATGGGCTTCTCTGTGATGTAAATTAGGCTTCTAATTTTCAGGCCCCTAGAAGTGGGATACATCTCATTTAACTTCCCATGACTCCATTTCAGCTAGTTGCCCTTTCATGACATGCTCAGCTAATATATTTTAGAGGCCTTCTTCAGAAAAGGATGAATCGCTCTGTGGAAGTGCCTGTTCCTCTCCGTTTGCTCGAAGGGTTGCTTGTAGTAGTTAGCTGGGATGCAGAGCTTTGCATTACCCCTGAAGATGGGAACATGGAAGTATCTTTGCTGCAGTCATAGACTCGTGGAACCATTATGGTTGGAAAAGACCTTCCAGATTGAGTCCCGTAGGCCCGTCCTCACCCTGCCTGCTAAATGTCCCTAAGTGCTTCATCTACACATTTCTTGAACACTGCCAGGGACGATGACTCTGCTGCTTCCCTGAGCAGCCTGTTCCAGTGCTTCACCACTCTCTCTGTGTAGAATTTTTTCCTACTATCCAACCTGAACTTGCCCTGATGCAACTTCAGGCCATTTCTTCTTGTCCTAGCAGTAGATATTCTGGAGAAGAGATCGACCCTTGCCTCACTGCAACCTTCTTTCAAGTAGAGAGGCATGTCCCACTTACAGTCTCTTCTGTTATTATGGTAGTGTGTATACAATAACTTGAATCTCGGAGCAAATTATAGCCTGTGATGCCACTGTGTGACTCTTCTGTGTGCTAACTTAGGACCTCCTCCTTTGGAAACTGGAGAGGAAAAGTGGCAGGTGAATCAGCAATTGTATTTCCTGTTATTTTTAAGAAAAAGGAAAAAAAAATCAAATATGCAGTTTAGCAAAGAGATTCAGGGGCAATCATAGACTATGCAACTTCTCTTCTGCTTTCTTCATTTGTTCAGCATTCAAATACCTAGAGCTGTGCACACTAAAATAAATAAATTTTCTTTCAGAGTACTTGAAAAAAATGCTGTACTTTGCTGCATTATTTGCTTTTGATTTTTGAAGTGTTGGATGTTGTTTTCGCCCTTTTGCTGTGCGTCTGTAGAAATCTGAAACTTCATTCTTTTATTAAAAACAAAACTGAGGTCATCATGTCATCAGAACTGCATGAGGAAAATACTGCAAGAACTGTGAGTGATGAGAAATGACATTATTGGTAACTCTTCTCAACTAAAAGGGCACACGTTATTGCACTGCAGAATGACATTGCCTGTCTTAGTAAGAAGTTGCTGTGAGATGAGGTAGCTGTTGTGACTTGTTCTGCACAGTAACGAGTGCAGAGTTACACGTGCACAGGTAGTGAGGTGCCTCTAACAAGCTGTGTTAGTTCAGCTGTTCGCCTGTTTCTCGCTCTGATGGCTACTATTGCAACAGCTTTACTCAGTCTGGGTTCTGCAAAATCATCCGTGAGTCACTTTATGCAGGAGGGCATCTCTGCAACCTGGTTTGCTTCTTTGCAGGAAGACTCATAGAAATTATATTGGTGTATGAATGACTATGAGTATTTGAGAGTTGAGATTTAATGTGCTGATAAAAGGAAGATGAAACTTTGGGACTTATTGATGTAAAACATAGCCAAAATTTTGTTTCAAACAAAATACTAGAGAAAACAGTATTTTATGAAATACGAATACCTATATAATGAAAACTTAGAGGAAATGCAGTATAGGATTTGTAAAAGATTTGGCTTATAAGCTGCATCTGAGACACTTGAAATCTGATATTTTTGTGATAAATTGGAGTTATTCATTTAGGCTTAAAGTAAAAACATATACTCTGAATAAAAAGCAAGGAGCTTCAATGTGACAATGTTTTTCAGAAGTCATCAGACCATATGCTTTATAATGATAGAAAATCAGTTTGAGGTTTTTGAGTCCTTTTTTAAAAAATATAGGTTTGATTTCAGTAGACAAAATGGTATACGGGGGCACAGGTATATGAGCATTGATTATAGTCCCTCAAATTCCTAATCGGTTTAGTTGATTAATCGAAGGTCATATAACATTATGTATTCCTAATGTTCCTGCTCTGCTTTCTAGCCTTTTGGATAACAATAATAGGCAGATTATTATTGTGCTTTGCTGTGAAAGAAAAAAGCAATGCATCAGCTTGAGAGTAATGTTTAATGTGAATTTAATGTTGCAAATGATGGTTTTCTAAGTGAATTCTGTGTATTGCGTAAACTGCCAGTGAGCTTCCATCACTGCATGGCAAAGTGTTTTGTCTTGTTCCATGTCTCTCCTCTTTTCTGTTCCTTTCCTACATCACTGCATGGCAGAGCAAAGTGTTTTGTCTTGTTCCGTGTCTCTCCTCTTTTCTGTTCCTTTCCTCTACTATTGAACTTTGATTTTTTAAAAAAAATCTTTTCTGATGACCCTTTTCATTATGCTCTTTGTCAATTTTACTGTAGCTGATCCTGTTCTTGCAAAAATTAATCTTTCTGAAGATAATTCTAACATTCATTTTTATAAAGAAAATGCTAATTGTAATTGTGACCGTGGTTCTTCACAGCCCATTGCATCTTGTGTAGGAAGATGGAATTTCAAATACTGCACCGTACGTTTTCTCTAAGTCCCTTTTCGCTAAACTCTAGAAATGGAGCACAAATAGATTTTGCCAGTAGGTGACACTCCAGTAACATGCTTGGTTCCTCATGCCCTCCCTTTCTATTTAGAATGTCAGTGTATCCTGATTGAACTCAGAGATTTCTACTGCTGTTTAATAGATGAAAAGGAATCTATGTGCCACTTATGCAGAAACACCTCTCGTAGTTTTGTAGTACTAGTTATATGTGTTGAGTAGCTAAAGGAGCTGGGGAAGAAAACGCTTGTGTGGTACACATAGGTTTGAAGTCAAAGTGTGTTGTTAATTTATGACAAGTAAAAATATCTTCACAACCCTCAAAAAAAGATTTTTTTTCCTTAAAGAAGCAAACTGAAGGAAGAGTGGAAGGATTTGTGTAGAAGTGCCTCCAGCAGTCTGTTTTAACACTCATAATATCATGTTTGAGTCTGAAAACCTTTGAGGTTTCTGTCCATGTATCACTGATGTGAAATAGGAAATGCTTTAATCCTCATTTCATAGAGGGGATAGGGACAGTAATAGGGAGTCTCTAAGGTGCTTGATGCCTTTTG